AGAATGCGCCCGAAGATGGGGGTGGCTCGGGCGGGGCCGCCAACTGAAATAGCGAGCGAATGTACCCATACCGGATTATCTCTGGAAACACGTAGGATTGATATGCCATGTAGGATGATGTGGTATTCGAAACGAGCGTCGGACACTGTAAACTATTCCAGTGATTCTAGGAGAGCAGCTTTCTACTCAAATCCAGGCGTAGCTCGCTGTAGTGATCTGCGAGCAAAATCTTGCTAAGTACAATACCTTATGATGCTCAGAAATCATGCCAAACTCCTCAAGGTTGACGCAAAAATTTTGTGTGGAAAGATTCATCAGGCTCGAACAGGATGAAGAGAAGAAAAAGGTTTGGAGTTTGTATATATTCTTGGTATCTTCTGTTAGATACAGGTCCGAGTTTTGGAAGCGTAGCTTCACTACTACTTATGCGTAGACCCCACCAGGAACCGGCTAGCAGAATGTTCTGAATGATACCTAGGTTTGCAAATGTCCACACATAAACCGTGGCTGTTGGTAACCTCATCCCTTGACTCGGGTTTTCAGACAACTCAGAGCTCCCCTGAGCACTGCATATAGCTTTGCTCCAATTCAAGAACAGAAATAAATTCAGTTATCATCCTGATCCATCAAACCCAAGCACTCCAGTTCCGTCTTGACAATCCTCTCGAACTCTGCCCTATCGATGCCAGCCACCCTAGCCAGTCGATACAGACTCTTCACACTAGTCCCAATATGCTGTTTGATAGCCGTCTCGTTTTGCTCTCTCACAGCATGAGCAGCAGCGCTCTTCTCAAGCTTGGCTACGGTATCGCTACCGCTGCTCCCAGTACTGCTTCCTGGTCTGGGTTGCGCCAGCCCATCATTCTTATGGTGTAATATTGATTGCGACGTTTGCATATGATCATAATATGCTGGATCATCAGAATGGCTCTCGGACAACGCTGCCGACGTATCCCGCAGATCCAAGTGCGAGTGCGAGTTTGAGAGATGCTGTTGTAACTCAGTCGTGATCTCATCCTTTCCCAGCGAAGACTCAATGGCGCCATTCTGCTCCGCTGCGTCTGGGTCGTGGTTGTCTAATGCCGGTTGCACTGAGGCGTACTGTGCGTAGTACGACGCCTCTTCTTCGGCGGATTGCCGTGTCTCCATACTGCCTGCTCTGTCTAGCGCATCGGCCATGGGCTGTGGAGCTGAGGGATGTTGTGGTGCAGGTGTTCGCGCCGGCGTATTGTCGTATTGTGCCCAATAGTCATCATCATCTTCCTCTTCTTCCACTTCAGGAGTGAGAAGACTGTTTGTGCCATTCATGCGATTGTGCGCGCCAACGTGAGTGCCATTGTTCGTATGACTCTGGCTCTGTGTCCGTTCCGCTTCGAATGCCCGTTCAGCATCTTGGATGCTGCCCTCTCCCCAAGAATATTTGCTTGCACTATCCAAGACATTGACCTCTCCTACTCTCCAACCATCTCCCCCGCCCATCTCGTCGTTCAAGCACCATATCAACTTGACGCCCAGCTCGATATCAGGTATTGAGATGAGACTTTGCAGTGTTTCTTCGTCGATGCGCTTATATCTCGAATGTACGCTGTCCCAGTCCAGCTCTACTTCACCGGACACAGGATGCGGTTCGAAGGCTTCGTTCCTGACGACAGACTCGAGCTTCGTTGCGTTTGCGCCGTCGTAGCAGAGTAGAGGGAGCCAAGGCTCGGAAGCTGTTGAAGACAGGATTTGAACTCGTTGCCGCAGAATAGGAGAGAGAATGGGTAGTAATGCTAGGGGCGGCGAGGGTGAGATCGTAGCTGCTGGAAGAGAGGCCAGGAGGGGCGCGAGAACCTGCTCTGTTCGTGGAGGCAGGATGGGAGCTTGCATTCTTGCAGAGAAATGCTGTAGTTGTCGAAAATGTTGCTGTCACATGCAAATCAATCACTGCGGGCGGCCAATGAGATGTCAAGTGGGAGGTCTGGGACGAAATTTAAATGCCGACAATTGAAGCTCCAGTCGGATCGGAGAAAATGGATGGATGCGTTAGCACCTGGGAAATGATAAGATAGGTATTGTATCTATAAAGTAACGAAAGAGAGGGAGATAGAGAAGAGAGAGAGCGAAGAGGTACGCCCGGTGACTTCGCTGGCCTGGCCTGGCCTGCCCTGCCCTGCCCTGCCAGTTTGTATGACTTTCCATCCGTCCGAATATGTATGGCGGGCGAGCTTTTGCCGTTCGGTGGACTGAGATGAGACGAGATGCAGCTGCTGCAGGTGACCGTCCCACTTTAAAGGAGCATCACGTGGAAGGGTTCATTGGTGATGCTCTATCGCCTCCGTCTAGGCTCAACTTCGGCGACTTTGATGAGGCTGAAATCCAGTCCAGGCCCAGGACCCGCGCTGGTCTAATCGGTCTAACCTGATACAGCTAATACCCAAAATATCATTGCTGTCGCTTCTCCTACGCCTTCTAAGCACGCGTTGTTTAGACGGCAAAGTTTTCAACCGTCACTTTCAAGTGCCTTTCTGCCACCGCTATACCATAGAATTCCTCGATAAGATACGATACGATACGTTCCTAGACGAACTAGCATAATACTCGCCATCACCACACTGCGAGCCATTCGTCTCTCCGCTGTCCTTCCACAACCATCAGTGTAATTTTGTCGCCCTGTTACCCAACGGCATCGAGTGGTCAATCACTTAAATTATATCTGCAATGGCAGGTCTCTACCGGGGCACAAGACTCCTGTCCAACTGTCCCTCCTTCAGCCAGTCCAGCAAATCAATCAGAAGCTTCTCCATCTTGGTAGGTAGCCAGGCTCGTGATGGTCAAACACGTCTCACTCAACGGCATACTGCATTGCCGAGCGGGTCTCGGGGGCTTGCATCAGTGATGTCGAATTCACGATTGGCAACTTCTCAAGAGGACTGGCAGGCAGCGAGGAGTCCTGATGGTAATCCTGACTTGAACCTCGAATATGTCAAAATCGGTACCGACGAAGGTGCCTTTCACCCAGTCTTTCTCCGCGATGCGTGTCCATGCCCTAAGTGTATCGATTCGTCAACAACGCAGAAGCTATTCCAAACAACTGATATCCCTGCGCACATTACAGCCGAATCGGTCAACGTCCAGGAAAATGGAGATGTTACCATTAAATGGAAAAACGACCTACCAGCCTCGGGACCAGACCATATATCCACCTACTCGGCCTCGTTGATCAAGATGTGTTCCAACAGGACACTCAGATTGAAAGGCCACTTTTCAGCAGGCAAGGCTCGAATTTGGGATAATTCTCGCATCAGTGAAGAGCTGGAATTCGTCAACTTCGATGACTACATGGAGGACGATAAATATCTTTTCCGAGCCGTAGCGCAGTTGAAACGCCTTGGTCTGCTACTTGTGCGCAATGTTCCGGAATCTGAAGAGGCTGTCGCGCAGATTGCTGAGCGCATTGGTACAATTCGGGATACATTCTATGGAAGGACATGGAATGTCAAATCAGTTCCCGAGGCCAAAAACGTAGCCTACACACATCAATCTCTTGGACTCCATATGGACCTGCAATACATGCACAACCCTCCTGGATTTCAGCTCCTACACTGCTTAAAGAATACCTGCGAAGGTGGGGACTCGTTGTTCAGCGACGCTTTCTATGCTGCCTCTCGTCTATCGGAACGTGATGTCATGACACTAACCAGGACAAACCTGGCATATCAATATCGGAACGCAGGCGAGCATTACTACATGGAACGTCCTGTATTAGAAGTTGGGGACATGAAATTGCAAACTCCAGGTGGCCTACATAGCAGAATCGAAGCCGTCAATTACTCTCCGCCTTTCCAAGCACCCTTGCCGATAAGTAAGGCACATCAGGGATACCTCGTTCCGAGAATGCTAGAGGCATTGCGACAGTTCGCGCGGAATGTCGAATCACCTTATCTGGTGCATCGCTACCGACTGAAAGCGGGCGAGTGTGTTATGTTCAACAACAGAAGGGTTCTACATGGGAGAGACGCATTTGAGCCTGGGAACGGAGAGAGATTATTGAAGGGCACGTATCTGGATACAGATGTGTTGAACAGCAAATGGCGAACCCTAAATAAGCAATTCAATGGTGTACAACCTGCGTTCGACGACGGACAACATGTGTACCCGGAAAACTGGGAAAAGAGAGTGGGTGGAAGGTTCGCTCAATAGGAGGAACAGGCTGTGTCATAAGGGCGGACTTATTACCAGAAAGTGAAAAGTCTGTGGCCTTGGGAAGCTGAAGAGGTGCCTACAGATCCATGAATAGGAGACGTGTGCGGCAGAAATCGACACCTTGTGTTTCTATTGTACAAATATTCGTAGGAAAGGGAAAACCACATACCTGGGTGAATGTACGATGAAGACTGTATTTTAGATACCAGATACGAGTTATGCAATGTACACAATACTACCCAGTATCTTCTGATTGACCCTTGTGATTAACACAAACAAATAATCTGCTATCACGATTCCTGCATACCTACTCAACCAACATTTGACCTGCTAAACTTGTCATAGTTTTGCAACTCTTGATTGATCATCAAATGTCTTCTCTAGTCCGACTCGATCCGCCTGAAAGACTACCTACACATGAGACCAGTCGTATTATTGTTCTATAAGAGTCTAGTCCTGGCTAAAGGGGGAAACAAAAGCAAAGCAAAGCCAAGAGCAAGAGGCAAGGCAGGGCAAGGGCAAGTTAAAACCCTCGCTTACCTACCTACTACCTTCAGCGGAATCAGTTCAGCCCCGTCAGCCCCGTCCCATCCGCAAAGACGAAAACCACAGAAAAATCAAAGCACAGCAAACCACCGAAACAATATGAGCAAGCAAAACCGAAAGCAAAACGAAAGACGAGATTTTCACAAGTGCTTTCTCTCTCTCTCCTATCGATACATTCTTCAGAATATCGAGCAACTACAGCTTAAAAATTCCAAAGCAAAAAAAGGGTTCGATGGTTAATCGGAGTGCTCTCCAATTCGCAGACGTGTTGCGGCTTCTGTGGATCGAACACAGTGCCTCCAGATGTCGTTGCTGAAGTTGACTTCAGTCTGGCGCTCTCCCAAGTGAGCTAAAGCCGCTTCCGGGATATATTGGAGGAATGTCTCTTATACTGAATGTTATATCAAAAAATCATGCTCTGGATATGATGAGGTGTGTGTGGAAGGGGATTAGTGCAGGGGCGGGATGAATGCGGGATTGAAAGAGGGGCACTTAGGCTAAAGTAGTCTCCTCTACGCTTGAGGGAACGGTAAACAACTTCTCGCTTGTTGGAAGCTATCTACAAGGCGCCTACTGATATTCACGGTAATAACCGGGCATTTTTTTTCTTCTACTACAGTGCTCTTTCATCTCCTATGGATTTGCCTTCTCATGTGTCCCATACGCTTTCTCTCCAACATTCCCTTCTTTCCTCACTCCACCTGCCTTCTTCCGCTCGTGCAACTCGTCCAACACCTTTTCAAGCCTCTGAACAGCCTCTGAACTAATTTGATAATGCACCACTAACCTCGGACCCAAAAACCTCAACCCATGCTTCTTCCCCAGCTCAACAAACTCATCATCCGCAATTCCGACATCATCTAGATCAAACCACTGTACACAATTAGGGTTAGCGATTGGACGGATATCGGATAGAGATGTTCTGAAAAGGGGACAAGACATGTCTGAAAAGAACTATGATATGTTGAGTTAAAAGGAGAGAAAAGGGGCTTCCCAAAACATACCACCATATTCGTCTCTGTAGGTTGTGTCAGCTTCCCACCCATCTCAGTCCATATGTTCGCAATCTTCTTCGCTGTAACATGGCTCTGTTTTAACAGTCCTCCTTCACCATTAGGACCCTTCCCAAATGTCTCATCAACGGCAACCCTCGCCGCAGCAGTAACAACACCAGACTGTCTCAAGCCCCCACCAATACTCTTTCTCACCCACCTCGCATGCTTAATGAACTTCTCCTTCCCAACAAGTATACTCCCAATCGGAGCACCTAAGCCTTTCGAAAAGCATAAACTAGCACTATCGAATTCACTTGTATAATCTGGCAAAGACCCTGCGCCGGCAACGACAGCTTCCCATATTCTTGCACCATCTAAATGCATTTTGATATTATTTTCCCTCGCAAAAGCTGATATCCTCTTGACTTCCTCTAGCGGCATAACTGTCCCTCCGAGTGTGTTTTCTAGACTTATAACCCGCGTTGGACATCCATGTATTTCATCGCCAATGACGACGTTCTTCTTCACGTCTTCTAGTGTTAAATAGACTCTATTTTTAGGCACTACGCCTTTGACTAGTGCGCCGCAGAGTGAAGCAACTCCACCGGCTTCCCATTCTAGTATATGGGCCCTGTAGTCGCAGAGTACGGAGTGTGGTGGTTGGGTCAGATGTGTGCGGAGAGCGAGCTGGTTACCCATTGTCCCGGATAGGACGAATAGTGCGCTTTCGTGAGAGGTAAGGTCTGCCATGTGGGATTCGAGGGAGTTTGTGGTGGTGTCTTCGCAGAAGACATCGTCGTGAAGGGTAGTATTTTGAATAGCTTGTAGCATGGATTGAGTAGGAGATGTCACTACGTCACCTTGAGACAGTTAGTCTTTCGAAGAGCAGAAACGAGGGTCCAGGAAGAAGACTGACTTCTGAAGTCGAAAGCAGCTTGCGCGGGACCAGACCAGGCTATCGGCTTTGTGCCATTGGTACTGTCTTTCTGGGACATTTCGGGTTCGAATTGAGACAGTGACCTGAGCGATTGCCTATATAGAGGGCTCGAAGATAGAGGGGTGTATTGAAGCTTTGTGCGAGATACAGAAGCTAGACCATATTCAGCAGATGTCCTTGACGCCGGACTTACATCAGCTCACTGGAAGTTCTTAAGCTCACGTAGGAACACCTTAAAGATTCCCTTACAACAAGGTTAGCTCTTCTTAGAAGCATCTTGAATGGCGGGGTCAACGGCAGTCAACTACCAAGGACCAAATGTATAACTCAATGGTTTTAGCGCTGTTTCTTATCTGATTCCAATCGGCTCAAAGTTGAGGGGTAAATACTTAGCCGAGAAAACCGGCCCGTAGTGCCTCGCGACGTAGTTTTGAGTTCCAGACATGCATCAAGGTGTAAATTCTGGATTCACCCGGAAAAGCAAGGATGCGACTTGCAACGAAAGAAGCTGCACTTTTTGTCTCGTTCTGGAATGGTCGAGGTGACTTTAGTCCGCTTGCTGATATTGAAATGTGATCGGTAACATCATTTGACCTGAAGACTTCAAGGCAGCCTTTTGACGGAGAAAATCATATGAAAGAATGTTTAGCTAAAAGAGTCTGATTCGTTCACCATCAGACAAGATGGCTAGATCTCAGAAACCCAAACTGAATAAGCCTTGGCAAGATGTTGCCAAAGGTGGCACAGGAATTGAAGGACGAGAGCTCGCCTATGTGTCTGGAATTGCTGAGATATTCGAGCATGAAACTCTTTCAAGTGAGCTCCCATAAAAATTTTCATATTTCCAGGTAGCATCAGACACCCAGTTGCAATTGCGGTATATACAGACTCAAACCGACCTCCTTCTTTATCCCAAAAATCAGCTGGTGCTCAGTCATGGCAGGCGCTGATCCGATTTCTGGTGTCGTTGGACCGATGAGCACTAGCTTGGAAGGAAGTAAGCTCCTCATGCAAGTCGTGACAGACTCTCAACTATGGCGACTAGGACCAGCACTCATTTCTATGCCATAAAACTATTCCCTTCAAAATTCTTGAGAGCAGCCACCTAAAGTCGAAGTTATGTGGCATGATGGGGTCATAACACATCAACACCAATCACGCAGGCCATAAAGAATTTCATTTCCTATTTCAGAGCGATCCCGAGTGTGGAAATTGCACGCTGCTACTATCGAAAAATCTGGCAAGCCGTGGCTACCTCTTACCAAATGGGTTATCAAGGAGAATCCATATATCAAGATACCGTCTCAGAAGCTTTCCTCCTGGGAAGAAGAGCGAGAGACGTATCAAAAAAAGTATGCGAAAGTTGTTGACGAACACGGCGACTGGTGTCGATACCATAATTAGAAAGACAAGAATTTTTGTTATAATTCTTTGTCCTGTTGATCCCGGAGTCGCTCTGAAGCACAATAAGGCAAAAATTTGGGACATAAAAGACAGTGGAGTCTGCTAAATTATCATGCCACAAGCTTTTCTGCGAGCAGGGTATCTGGAAAGGATGACATTGCACAGGATGCACTCAAGCAAATGTCAGAAGTCGATGAAGAGCATTGGAAGCTATGTAAGTACTCCCGACACTTGACGATAACGAAGACTTATTGACATCGTAAACAGACGACCCGGCAGAGTTTGACGAGAATACAGTCTCCTTACAGGTCGTTTAAGCGGAGATTCGAGGGTGAGAAAGCCCTCGCAGTCTTGGAATATCTGAAGCAGACGATCTCACTTCCCATCCGATGACTTGGTTGAACTCGCGTCGATCTTTGGAGTCGAAAACACGCAAAGTCGCATGGAAGGGCAGCGCGACGTACAAAAATAAATATGATATTCAGCTTCGAACTCCAAGAGCGCGGCTCTCGGGGCGGCGAGCGTTCGGACGATTTAACAAAGAGCTCCTGTCAATCAACCATAACATGAAACCATTCCCAAGCAAAAAATTCATACGGGATCACTTGCCGGGAACGTGACTCTGGAGCCGAACCTGCAGATCAGGTAAAGTGAAATGTGCCGAGCGCCCAGAGTTGTCGCAGGTTTGACATCGGCAAAATGCAGGTCAACAGTCGATCAAACACTTCCAGCGCCACCTCATATGTAGCGAGCCTCGAGACATGAGATGACGACTCCAAGGCCCAGCACCTGTCGTCTGAATGTTTAGCCAAGACAATTTAGACCTGGCCTGACAATTCGAATGTCGGAATGATTGTGCCGCCCATATGATCTCTAGTGTTAAGCGTTTAGAAATGCGGTCGATGAATTGAGGATGTAACCAGAGGACTCCACTGAATTAATCGGGACGAGTTTCTCAACGGGGTAAAGGAGAAAGAGGTAGATCAGGTATATATAGCAGACCGTCGGGAGCACGTACGATACTAAACATCTTTCATCACAATCCAACTCGTCTTTCATACTTCCTGTCTCTACCAAACGACCTGGCGTCGTCTTTATTCTACACTTTCACTTATATCATTACTCTTAATATCAACGTCCTAAAAACCTTCAATCTTCTCATCCTCCGTCAAAATGGTTCGCATTCCATACGCTCTTGTCCTGGCTTGTTAGTTCTTTCCTTGCATTTATTGCATCATGACGTGTTTGACGACAGAGCTTCATACTGACAAAAACTGAACAGTCGCCGCTGTTGGTCTTTGCCAGTTGAAGGTCAACCTCGCTGGTGCTAAGAACGTCGGTACTGGAGAAGGAGCTCAATTCATCACCGGGGGGTGCATTGATAACTCAGACTGTGGATCTAATTGCTGTGCCGATCTCAGCGGCGTCGGTATATGCTCTGGGTACGTTCTCAAACCCCTTCAACCTCTTCATACATGTCAATGCACAGCACATAACTAACACCACCGCAGCGAGGTTGCGGCTTTTCAAGCAGGCAAGAACGGATGCGACTTCGTTGACCCTCAAGCTGCCGCTACCATCCAGGCAGCTGCCGACCAGGTCGAGAAGCAAGGTTTCTAAATCTAGGCTGATGGTTACTACGAATCAAGCATGAGTGTTGAGAGTCAAGGGCTGAACAGGAGTTGGGAGATGCTGGATTCTAGATGCGTTGCCCGGGCGGACCTTTGGAAGGAGGACGCATTTGTATTTACTCCCTAGATTGGAGGACATGTGGAATCTGAGAACGTTCAGCAGCCAACCCATGACATGATGAGATCTTAGGTGATTGTGAGTGCTTTGTGCCAGCAAGAGAAATGACTGGAGGCAAGCAAGCTTCACCTACAATAAAGGTTGGCTCGTCTCCAGCGAAGCAATCGGATGACTGTACAAGTCTCAATATATCAAAGTCATCACATAGACATGTGACTTTGCAGGTTTTGTCTGAGGAATTTGCCGATGCACAGGCATAAGGAAGTTTTTGGGA